GACTGCGATTTTTGCCACTTGTCCTAAAAATGTCCTTTAGAGAAAAAAGAAAATGTCTTGCATGTTACCTTCAAGATGTTTCTTTGTCCTGCTGCTGGCAGTGTTCACTGTGGCCCCTTGGTTAAAATGTCACCTGCCAAGTTACCCCACGAAACCCTCGATTGTTTCTTAGTAATTCAGTGACCAACTCAGGGTCATCTTGTTGTAAGACAGCGGAAATCCTGAGAACTCCTGGGGCTCATGGGGGAATAATAGGCCCAGTGCGTGTTCCCCAAAATGGAAGAATGAATTTTAAGGAACAACTGAGGCTAAGAATAGGAAAACTTTCTTGAGAGAGAGCTCCTGAGAGACAGGAGGGAACCCAAGTGGGTTGTCAACAAGCCCGCTTCTCAAAGTGTTATAGAGCAAATTCTGAGGTGGCTACAACGTGGGTCAAAACTATGATCAACCAATAAGATTACAAGTACAGCCACTTAGGTAATACTGATCCAATGGGAAAGCAGGCACATTGCAAGCTACATGGAAAGAACAAAGATCTTTTTAGGATGGGATGGGTCAGGAGGTCCTGGTCACCCACCTGGGTGACTGATGTCTGTCTAGCCACCATTGGACCAGGTGATGCCAGTTATCTTATCCCCTGGGGAGGCATGTGGGCCCTGTCATTCTGTCCTTATCTTGAGGCCTGGCCTTTAACAGATGCGCCTCCTGACGCAGGTGTGATGTGTTTTGCTCTTCTGCACTGACTCCCTCGAGGCCCAGCCCTGTCTGACTGCCTAGAATATTTCTACCTAGCTTAGCTGTCTGTAACAGAACTGTCATCCAGGAATTTTAACAACCATTCATGACTTTTGGCTGAATCATTCGCTACTGTGAATGTTGCTATGCCCAGTTTGGATTTTACTGCAAGAAAGAGCTTTCCTCCAATCTAACTTTACATCTCACTATCAACTCAGGGGTTCTCATTTCATTTAATAGGTGAAAAATCCTCTACCATCCTTATTTATTCCCATGCTCAAATTATCCCTCATTTGTTCAGAAGAAACCCCTCCAAACTGCTGGCTCTTCCTTTCTTAAATTTACATTCAAACATTTTTGATCAATTTATTTATTTGGAAGGATAGGGTCTTACTAACTTGCCCAGGCTGGCCTTGAACTTGTGATTCTCCTGCCTCAGCCTCCCAAGTAGCTGGGAGCACAGCTGTGCACCACCATGCCTGGTTCCTGTTTCCTCTTGATGTTATGTCCAGGGGTGAACATCACACCACGTGTGTCAGCCACGTCACTGTTCCACTGGAGACACAGCTCCCAGTGACCTTAAACCCGGCGCCAGTAAAGAATACAAAGAGGCAAAATTTAGTATAACAAAGGCTGGTTCATTTGGGGAGAAAAGATGGAAAAGAAGAGAATGGACAGCTACTGTGGGGTGGTGGGGCTTCAGAGTTGAAAGCCAGGAGCTCTTGTCTGTGGCTCCTTTCACTGGGGACTAGTGTCTTCCCCTCCCGGGTGGGCAGTTGTTGCTGTCGGATCTGCCGCCCTGACCTTCTAACCCAGGCCTGCTAGCCATTTGGCTTCTTCCGGTTCCTGTGCAGTACGTGAAGGGCCAGGCCTATTAGGGAGGCAGCTCACTTAATGACTAAGTAAAGGCGCTTGTGGACATGTGTGTATCTGGTGCAGTGCAATACTGATGTTCAAGTGAGAACTTACACACCAGTGTACATGTGCAGGTGTGTGTGTGTCTCACATATTAGATAAGACCCTTGGGCGGCTGTCCCTTATTGCCCTTGCATTTGTCAGGTGGCTGAGCCGAGCTGGCTTTCCCGGTAACTGTGGTGCCTGGGCCTCTCCCACGTCTAGCTAGCTCTTCCCTCCTTTGTCAGAAACTGTTTTTAGTAAGTTTTCCTATTGCTGTTAATAAAGCTCAGTGAGGCCTTTATCGTATCTTGTCTCTACCTAGAGTGCCAGCTGTCCCTACATTGTGTCCTCTTCATTTTGAAGGTTCTTCCTCATTGTCCTTCTACTTCAAGAAGCCCTGCTCCTTTAGGTGGATCTATGAGAGGCATTTGGGAACCAGCTCCGGGGCTGGGTGCTTACAGTTGCTGGACTGGCATCGCTTTTCAGGCCCCTGATGGGCAGAGCTGGGAAATGTGTGTACACTCAAGGTGCAGCTCTTTCCACATCCGCCTACATACACTCGGACCCGGGGCTCACACCTACCCTCCCACCCCATGCTAATGCGCCCGGGGAGCATCCTGGCCTCCTGCCTTCCTGTGTGGCCTCTTCCTGCCCCTGAGAGGCCCGAATCCCTGTTCGCAACACAGTTCTCCTCAGCCCCTATGCCACACAGCAGGTCACTGTAGAATTGCTAGCCCACTCTCCTGCCCAAAGGCATTTCTGACTGTAATACAGTAGTGGTTGTTTATGGTTCTTTTCTGTCTTTAGCCTTTGTATAGACAACAAAAACAAGGGTTCAGACTTAGATTATTTCTCCCACACCCTCTTGTGGTGTGGTTTTGATGTCCATTTGAAACAGATTAAACTTATCAGTTTCTACTTGAAATCAGTTTAGGATTTTGACTCATTCCTGTTGATACTATTAATATCACGTGTAAAATATTGACATGGTTCCAAAATTTAGGGTTGCCCTCTCCCTTCTCATCCCTTCTCCCATTCCGGACATCTTTCTTTCTGCTTGGTTCCCATCCAGACCTGTTGATAACCAATCTCGTAGATGCTGATGCTTCTTTACCTGAGTCTTACACCAGTGAGCAGGAGCACATGGACTTTACGGTTTCCCCTTCTTGCCTGCTCTAAAGTCTTCTGCTTCTGTCCCAGAAGCCTCTCCACATTGCTCTTGCAGCCCTGGCTCCCTCTTTCGTGGCAGCTGGTCATGCTCCACTGTGGGCAAGCAGCATTCAGTCTAGCATTTCCCTACTGTCTTAGTCATGCACTCGTCCCTAAGGCACAGTATCAGACACCCATACCTTGAAAGAGAGAAGTTTATTTTGGTCCATGTTTTTAGTCCGTAGTTGGCCTGTTCCAATGCAGGAACCGTGGTGGAAGAGTCCAGCAGAGGAAAAGCTACTCACATCATGGTAACCAGGAAGCAGGGGGGCGGCCAGGGAGTAATGCCTCCAGCGATTGCCTCCCCCTGCCAGGCTCCACTTCCTAACATCCTGTTTAGACACAGCAGCCCAATGATTCAGTCAACCTTCAAAAGCCTCACCCATGAGCATCTGAGCCTTTGGGAGAGACTGAGATATAACCCACAACACCTACATAGGGTGAGTTGGTTATATTTTATATAACATAATTTAATTGCAAGAACTGCTTTAATCTTACCTCCAAAAACAACGCTGCCATGAATGATGCTGTGAGTGTGTATTTTTAAATTGCCAGATTGAATCTTCAGGGTGGATTTCCAGGAATGGGACCACCAAGGCCCAGGAAAAGGTGCACACACTGTCGTTAGAAGTTGCCATTCTCTTTCAGAAGAGTCACCTTGTTCTCTCTGAGAAGCTACGAGCTACAGGTCTGCATCTGTGGACTTATCAGTGATATGTGGGTCATGCTTTGTGATTTCTACCAATCTGATCTCCAGCACAAGCTATTTATTTGTAGCTTTAATTTATATTTCCTTCATTGTGGGTGTTGCTGGGTAGTTTTCCTATACGTAAGGCCAGCTTCAGTATTTTTTGGTGAATTGTGTGTTCATGTATTTGTGCATTCCCAATTGTTTCACTCGATTTTTCCTCAAGGGGCAAGGTCTGGCTTGACTAAGGATAGTTGCACTTTATCTGGAATATGATCCATACATTGCAAATATTTTTCCTAGCATATCATTTTTCTTTTGACTTAGTTTGTGATACTTTGGGTAATGCAAATAGTTTTAAAATTACATAGGGAAATTTATCATTGAAAAAACGAATTTGGATTTTGAGTCATGATTAAAAAATGTTTCCTATTGCTTCTAGGCCTTTTGGCTAAGATCAAGTGTAAAAAATGTTTCCTACACTTGAGTTATAGAGGAATTCATTCATGTTTTCTTTACTACTTAAAAAGATTTAATTTTCTTATTTGTAAAGCACTCATCCACTTTAAGTTGATACTTATATATGTTGTAAGATATGAATCTAATTCTATCTTTTTTTTCACATGGCTACCCACTGGACCCAGAATCATTTATTTAAAAACTCTATACTTGCATCAAGATTTGAGTTACCACCTTTATCATGCAGTAAACTTTCATATGTTCTTGGATTTATTTATGGACTTCATTCTGTTGGTCTCCTTTCCTAATCATGTACCAGGGCCGTTACATGGAATTCAAGCTCAAGCAAATTATACCTCACCAGTAACCTGCCAGCTTGCTGTTAGGCTGCCCTGTATCACATGGCCACCATTCACCAATTCTGCAAAACCCTCCGTTTTACATATTTCCACCTAATATATTTCCATATTTCCACCTAGAGTGATGTACTGGCTGATTCCAGGTGGAATATAAAAACTCCAGCCAGGTGCACTTCAGAACTTTCATCTTGCTGTTTTAGTGTCTTTCTCATCACTGATACACAATACCTGACAACTATAGTTTAAAGGAAAAGAGATTTACTTTGGCTCACGGTGTAAGAGGTATCAGTCCATGGTTGCCCGGCTCCTAGGCAGGGCATGGCAGAGGGGAAACAGTCCATGGCAGGAAGCAGCCAGGGATCAAGGGAAGAGGAGAGAGACAGACCGTGCCAGGCCACGGCCCCAGTGATCACCTCCTCCAGTCAGGCTCCACTTCCCAAATCCCAGTTAGCCATGAGCTCATCAGTAGACTAATCCACTGATAAGCATCCCACGCCAGGATCCAGGCACCCCCCCAAGGGCCCCCCTCTGAGCAAGAGGCTTTGGGGGACATCTGTTCTAAACCGGAGCTCTTGCTTGCGGCCCTGACCATCCTGAGGAGCTGCTAATCCTCCTGTCTTCTCTCTTCCTCCCTCCCTCCCTCCCTCCCTCAGTGGTAGAGGCCCGTGGGGTCTCAGAAGGCGCGCCGAGATTCTCCTCCTCGCTTCCGCCCTACCTGCCCGTGAGCTTCAACATCCGGGGCGCAGAGAGCGCCTTCTTCCTGCAGGAAACGCAGCCCCGGGACACGCTGCGCAACGCCAGCCTGAGCGCCAGGGTCGCGTCCTTCTTCGCCTACAAGGCCAAGCAACCCCCGGTGCTGAACGCCAGCTATGGGCCTTTCTGGGCGGAAAAGGTGGTGCCCCTGGAGCTGATGCGGACCTCCAGCGCCTTTGGCCCGAGCAGCAGGTTTACGCTCGACTGGAAGCTGAAGGCCTCCATTCTGCGGGACAAGATCTACCCGAGCCGCCCCAAGGTGCAGGTCCTCTTCCACCTGTTGGGCCGGGACTGGGACAAGCCGCGGCCGGCGGAGAGGCTGCCCTGCCTGCGCGTCTCCGCGGTCCGGGAGGCCCGGGAGGTGCGGGGCAGCTGCCGGCTGGGCGGGGACCTGGGGCTGTGCGTGGCGGAGCTGGAGGTCCCGGCCAGCTGGTTCGGCCCTGAGGCCATGGTGGCCGGGAGGAGGAAGCCGGCGGAGCAGCCCGAGGGGAGCCCTGTGGAGCTGTACTACTCAGTGCAGCCGGCGGACGCGCGTGGGGACTGCGCCGCCGCGGGCGACCCCCGGACCGGCAATGCCATCCGCCCCGGGAAGGAGGGCGCTGAGGGACCCGCGTCGCGCCCTCAGAGCGTCGGCCTGGTGCGCCTGTTCCGCGCGCAGGACGCCCAACAGCTCCGTGAGCTGCGCCTGGACCGCGACGTGGCCGTCTGGCTGCCTGCGCGGCCGGCCAAGCAGGGCGACGTGGTCACCGCCTACGTCACCGTCCTCGGCAACTCCACCGTAGATGTCTTCGTGCTGAGGTAGGTGCCGGGTCTGGCCTGCCGTCCTCGGGAGCCTGGCGCGAAGCTGGGCTGGGCAACTCTGCTAAGCTGTTGGAGGGGATGGAGGGCAGGAATGCGTCCCGAAGAGGAGGCCAAAGGTTCGCCTCCTGGGGCTTGGGGTCTCCGCAGCCTGGACAGGGCCGCTGACCTGTCTGGCTTTGGCTTCCCATGCACACCTGCTGCCCCGGGGTTGATGAGCATGCAGAGTCACAGGGAGGGTGAGACTCCAGGGCGTGCGTGGAGAGAGCCCAAGGTGGTTCCCGGAGACGGGCTTTCAACGTTGCCAGCTAGAGGCTGGGAAGCCAGTGGTCCTGCGTGCGGCCGAGCAGGGACTGGAGCAATCTCAGCAGAAACCTGGACAGGAGAGGTGTGGCAGGCCACAAAGCGAACAAACAAACACCTAAAGTAAGTCAAGCGCAGGTTAGCGGAGTGCGCCTCTGTCACCCACAAACCGCTTCTGGAGAGCTGCTCTGTCTACCTGTGAGTGCCTCAGTCAGTAGCGCCTGATTTCCGGAATCACTGGCACTGAGAAAGCACTCAGTGCAGATTCTCTGCATAATAGCGAAAACATACTTGGAGATGTGTTTCAAAAGTAAAGATTAAAAATAAAAATTACCAAAATAGGTTGCCTTTAAAATTATATTTCAGAGAAACTTAGGTGATCACCATAGCTATGTTTTAGTTCTTTTGAGTAAAAAGTGAATCATGTGCTGCACAAGTCACTTGGAATAATATCTGCAGAGAGGAACGATAGTGAGCTACGCTGTGGGCCACTTGTGCTTGATTTCAGTAGAGCAATGACCAGGGTGGATAAGTCTAAAGTTTGCTTTGGAAAGAAAGTGTTCAAAGATTCCAGTGAGCTCCTTAGAGTATGTCTGAGTCTTTCAGATCCACATGATTCTCTCTGAAGTTTCTGTCTCGTCATCACCTTTCCGACTTCTTTCAAAACCTTGTTGATCTGTCCCAGTGCAAGGGAAGAAAACCGAGGGCCTCACACAAGCTAAGCAAGCTCTCTCCCCTGAGCTGCATCCCCGGCCTTTCCCTTTCCTTATGATCAGTCTAGTTTTACAGATCCTCATTTGCCAATGCTTTTTTAATGTGATCGTGGGACCTTTGTGATATTCTCTTCAGGGATATGATGGAATCCTGCCTCTGTCGCAGGATTCAAGATTCCACAAGCCAGAAGTTCCCACCACACTCACACTGCAAGCCTTCCTTGACCACTGGTGGAGAGGCAGACCTCACTGGACGCATTGGTGACCTAGTGAAAGTGTCGTCATCTTGTGCTTGTGTCTGCGGGGTCAGGACAGTCATGATTCCGGTGAAAGGATCGGAGTGTTTCCGGCCGCCTTGGGTGGGTGGGACACTGATCTAGCCATCTGAGTGCGTTCATCTTACTTCGCTGGTTTCAGATGATGCCAGATCAATTCAGTACATCCAGCCCTGGCTTTGGAGCCTGGAAACAGGAGACAGGAACCGAGCTCATCGCAAAGGCATGGCCAATTTACCCTGTCCTCAGCCTCACCCTGGCACGTGTTACCTTCTGTCTGTAGAAAGTGCAGACTGCCATCCTCCGAGCGAGGGTGACTTGAGCAGAGCTGTGTGTGTCCCCGGGCTCAGGTCCTGTGCCCTGGGCTGCACACAGATGCTCTGATCCGACCTGTCGGAGGTGAGGAGCCCTTGTTTGTATTTTCCATCTCAGCGTCTGCCTCGGTTGTGAACAGGACCTCAGCCCTGGTCCTGCCTCTCCCTCCTACCGTCCTCGAGGCGTCAGCCACCTCTGCTGAGCTCCCATGTCTCGGTTTCCTTGTCCTAAAAACAGACAGCGTGACAGTGCTGCTGCCATGGGGTTGGGAGGGATCAGTGGGCTGATGCTTATTTGTAAGTTGCTTACAACTGTGTCTGCCACATGAATATTACCAGCAGGGTGTTTGACTGTCCATCTAGCCTTCAGTAAAACTTGGATTCTGTTTTGACAGTAAAAGGACGTCGTGCTTTGCCTAAAACAGCAACTATGGATTTGTCCTCAAAGCTGCATCAATTCCTATTTATTTCACTGTCAAAGGAATGATATCTTCCTGTAATGACAGCGGGTGGAATGGGATGTGGGATTGGTCACATTAGGGTGTGGCTCCCTGCTGTCCACAGCAGCAGCCCTGTTCTGTCCCCTGTGACCTTCCCACTCAGCTCAGAGTCCGCCTCACCTCCCCCTGTTCACGGTACAGCCTGGGCCATCTTCCTTTCCTCTGACCTTAAACTTGAAGCAATGTTCTTAGGGGATACAAAGTGACTGCTCATGGGGACCCCAAGCACAGAAGGCCCCAACCCCATGTGCAGATCAAAGCACAGGTGTCTCAGGCAGATTAGAGTCCAGGGAGGAGGGAACACAGATTGGAAGTGTGAGCACCTGGATTGGGAGTCTCGGTCCTTGTTCTCAGGACAGAGCTCCACTGTTTAGAAAGAGGAGTTATGGATAGTGTAGCCATTTGGGTCTTGGACTGAAGTGTATTTCACAAAGGATCCATCCTGACCCTTCATCAGATGGAATTTTGCTCCATGTGGTGTCTTTCTACTTTTCCTCCTTCCTCCTTCCCCTTCTCTCTCCACCAAAGCCTCCAATGTGTTCCAAGATTCCTTTTTATTTTTTATTTTTAACTAATCATAGACTGATAAGAAGTTCAAAAAGTAATAAAGCAAATCCCCATGTTCCTTTGTCGAGCTTCCTCTAATAAGAATACCTTACGTAGCTTTTTTGGCAAAAGAAAGACAAGCAGCTGTCTCAAGCCTTCTCCTTTTCTTACTGGATGTTTGAAACTTTGCTCTGCTGTCATAGTTTTTCTTTATAGTTACCTTTCTTAGTTAATCAGGATACAAAACACAACAGGCTTCCCGTTTCCATCTGAATGATGTGGTGGTTTATATCCAGGTGTGCCCCCAGAGCCTCCTTCCCCTAGAGGCAGGGCTTTTAGAAGGTGCCTGGATCACCGGGCCCATAGCTGCCTGCTGTTAGGAGGCGGGGTCTGGCCGGAAGAGGCGGTCACGGGGCGTGGCCTGGAAGGATGCCTCTCCTTCCCAACTCCTCCCTTCTCGCTCTGCTTCCTGTCCGCCATGCTGTGAGCCGCTGTCCTCTGCCCAGGCCCTTCCTCCATGCTGTTCCTGCCTGGGAGCCAGCCAGCCAGGGACTGAAAGCATGAGTCGAAATAAACCTCTCCTCCTTTAAGTTCTGAGTATTTTGTTCCGGTGACAAGAAAGAGACTAAGACAGATTTAATGTTTCTCTTCTTTCAATAAATCTTCGTTCAGTTAATTTTTATTGAACCCACTTGCCAGGCATTATGTTATAGCAATAGAGAAATGTCCAGCTCCCTGCCTGTGTGGAGCTGATACTCCTGACGGGGAAGATAACCCTCATCGAAACAAGGATAACAACGCAGTGTATGGAGATAAGTGATTTGTTTAAAAATGAACCAGGGAAAAGGAACAGAGCTGGAAAGGCGTCTTGTGAATCAGGTGTGGTCTTGGGAGAGCAACAGGTGCGAAGACCCGGGGGCCACTCTTGGAGTGTCGCTGTGAGGGCAGGAAGAGGACCGTGTGGCCGAGCTGGGCTGTGTCACGCAGCGCCGCGTGGGGTGAGCGTCAGGGCTTGTCCTTGCTCGGGGCGACGTGGCAGCGATGGAAGGTTCCGAAGAGAGTCCGTTAGCCCACTTAGGCTATGTGTCGCAGCGGTCCAGGCGAGAGGACAGGGCGTCAGCTCGGTCGCAGCAGCAGAGCAGTAAGGAGCCTGCAGATTCCAGAAGTCCCAGCGGAAGCTGCCCGGGTCGTGGGCCCGTGTGGGTGAGGGGACAGGAGTGAGCCACGGGAGCGGCCTTCCAGGACGTGCAGCCTGGGAGAAGAGCAGACTTGCTCTCTGTGGGTAGCGTCTTTAATTCAGATTTGCATAGAATGTGTTTTCATGCTTGCCATGGTGTTTTAGGGAAGGGCCATTCGGTAAGTGGGCGATGTGAGGGTGCCCACAGACGTCGCCCTGCTGGACGGGGGAGTGGCTGAGGGTGCTGAGGCTGGAAACCCACCCTGCCCTCTGGCAAGCGCGGAGCTTCCCAGGGGGAATTTTCTGGGGGGCTCTGCTGATGGCAAAAGCCAGATTCCCCTGTGTGACTCCACGGGGTGGCCTCACAGACCGGGCTGGTATTCGGGAACAGCCGTTCCAGGGAGTTCCCAGGGCGTGCAAAACACCCGTGGAAACTTGGTGAGAATCCCCCCGCAGAATCATTCACAATGCCACTCTCTGTCGGCAGAAAGAAGAGTCAGAATTTTGTTCACAACTTCATAAATGAAATTCAAAGGCAACCCTTGCTTTTAGGTTGACACTTGCTCCTGTCCCTCCCCTGTCAGGATGTAGAAGATGAACCTTGGTTTCTGGGAGTGCTAATGTTCTTCTGGAGCCCTACATTAGAAAGTAGAATAAAGTCATAGGATAATAACTGGCCAAGTGAAAATGCACACGGAGGGATATTTTTAAAGTACGCATAAGCGTGGGCTCCCTGGGACAAGCTCTCTGCCTGCTGCTGAGCTCTCCGCCCTTGGCTTAGGGCTCGACCCACTCCATAGCTCTGAATGAGTGCAAAGCTAAAGACCTAAAATCAAATCTATGCCAGGAGTGTTCCTTCTCTTGGAAATTTTCTCTCATAACCAACTGAGACCCTTGCAATAAAGACCAAGATTCCTCAGCCACCAGGCATTGTCGACCATCCCAAAGTTGTTAGAAATATGCTGACAATTGGGGTTGCCCCTTGTGGGGTTCCACTTTGATGCCTCAGAGGGCCCATGTGTCCCTGAGGGTCTCAGATGCCAAGGAAGGGACTTCTCCTCCTGCACGGACCCGCGGCAAGCTCACGGACAGGCCAGGTGGTCTCGACTCGTGGACCATCCCAGACAAGGAGCCGGAGGCCACGGCCCCTCTGCTTGTCGGGAAATCCTACA